CTGGTTTCATATGATCACACGGTTAAAAAAAAGTAAAGGTGTGTCAGATAGTTTCCTTATAATTAACTGATGAGATAGAGAAAGTCAAGAGAAAGTTCAGTTTCTTTTAGAATTTGTTAACAAAGTCCGTAGTTTAGAGAAAACTCTTAGGTCCAGCATTGACTGATTTTCTCAGTTTGGCTGACATTGTCCACTTGATGTCTTTATATATTCCTAAAGCCTTAAAGTTCAGCATAGGCATCATTTGGTGTTCTGCAACACTTCTGTAATTGATTATGGCAGCAGTTTAAGAGAAGATAAGGAGGCCACTCAGAGTAAAAAACTCAGAAAATAATATCCTGGATGAAACTTTGAGAAAGAGAATAGGAAAAAAGGTATCTGAGCAGTCTGAAGTTTGGCCAGTAGACCTGGTAAAGGAATGGTACTTTTGCCAAAAAAAGCTAGCCGCCCCACTCACATGGGAGTAGTAGATAAACAGGGATCCATTTGACATCCCTCCCCCCCCCACCCCCGCCCTGTGTAGAACAAAAGGACAAGTAGCTCTTGTCTTGTAAGCAAGGTTCCTCATATGCTTGCTTTCTCTCTAGACATGTATTTACATTTTGGGCCCGGAATCCCTTAGATCTGTGTCAATTTAACCATGGATGGAAATAAAAAATCAATAGACTGGACCTGTGTCATGTAGTGTTGTAGGTGCTCCCTGCCTTCCAGAAGACTTCTGAGCCTAATGAAAGATTCCACATAAGTAGCCTATTTGATTTCCAATCAGGTAGACCTGGATAGTCTTCTTGTAAATTACAGTCCTCCTGGGAAACAGAGAACATGGGAATTCCATGTCCTGCCTTTTTCCGAACCACTGTTACTCTTGCTATGACTTTGAGCAGTGCATGAAGTCTCGGTGGCTGTGCTGAAGGATATGAGTTTAAACAAATGTCTTTCCTATGGACATAAATTACTGTTCCTGCAAATACTGCATTTTATTGTAGATACACATTCTTACTTTTCTTATTTATGCATTTTGTAAGTTTATTCTGATGTCTATGGAAAACCTATAGTGCATTTTTACCTTGAGTTAGATTTTGGGTTACTTTTACTGGAGGGTTTTAACTTTTTCTTTGCAGTCATAGGGCTGGAAAATTCCTTGGTTTTCTAATATGTAAACTGACTGATGCATACAATCGCCTGGTTTTCTAGCAGCTGAAGCTTCACGAAAAACACTAATTATCACGATGAACTAAAAGATCTGGCTAGACTGAGGTCAAGCCTTATGAGTTTGCGCCTTTGTTTATGACAGTGGGGATAAGCAAGTGTTTCTCCAACTCCCTTTTTCTTACGATATTTTTGTTTTACAGGTATGCAGCCCTAAGACTATAAATTGCATTGCCATCTATTGAGAGCCCAATTTCTAGGAATTCTTGAAAATTTATAAAGTAAATGCAGTGGGGTTGGTAAATTCAGGAGGAGAGTGTGAATTCAAGGGCGTGCAAAGGAAACTTGGAATTCCGCATTTGCCTCATTGAGTTTCACCACTGAGTTTGGGCTATCAACTTCACTACCATCTCTTAAAATAAATGTTATGTTTTATTGTATGTCTTTTAGCTGTGTGATAAAGAAGATATAAAGGAATGGCCTTTAATTTGCAGTGTCATTGCCTTGAATTTTCTGCAATGATAAACTTTAAAGCATGGGTGCTTATAATTAGACACTTCTATACCTCAGTGAGGAAACTATATACCAAATGTGTACGTCATCTCCTAGATACTTAAACTGAATTAGGGGACCTAAACAAGAGCACGTTGTTTGAAAACGTTATCAGAGATGTTGCTGTAACTCTCTTGAAATTAAACTCTGTCACTTTGCATTATTGTATTCCTGGATTGACTATAAATTATGATTTTAGTCTTTATGGTAACATTAAATTGTAGGTGATGAACATGGAGAACTCCACAATCAGGAAAAGCATTTAGTTATTCAAATATTTTTAAATTACACCTAGAATAAGAATTACTTGATTATATTTTAGTGCCTTTTTGGCCCCTTTAGCTACAAATTTGATGTTGGAGGGTGGGATTAGGAGGAGGAGGAGAAGGAAGCAAAGAAAGAGTTTGCTTTCTCCCTGACATCAAATTCAACTTGACCAAAGCACATCATATATTTCTTTTTAGTCACTAGTTCAATCAAGTTTTGCCTTGAATGTCGTTCTGTGCTGCACAAAGTTTGGTATTTTTACCCCATGTAAAATCAAAGCAGCATATTTAGATGGAGCTTAAGAATCTGGAAGTACACCTTTCCTTCTCAAATAAATCTGCTCAGCCCTGCAGACTGTGCCCATTAGAGGCCACAGAAACAGAAGACAGAACCCTTTACTCTCTGTATGGGCAGAGGGCAGGCACTTGATAAATGAGTGGAGAAGCCTATGTCAGTTTCAGAGAAGAAAACAAAAGAACCAGAGGAAAAGCAGTGAAAAAAGAGACTGTCAGGGGATCTGCTGAAAGATTAACTACAGTTTTCCATTGCTTATTTTATCTGCTGTTTTGTTGTTGTTGTGGTTTGGTTGTTCCTTTCCTACACAACTGCATTCCTGTAGTAATCCTATCTTTCCCTTTTTTTAAAAAAACTAATTTTAAGGGACTGTCAAAATTTTGCCAGTGTAAATCCCATCTCCTTTTATGAATGTAGTTTAGCTTTCAGACTGTGTATGTGTTAGAGGAAGAAGTTGTGTCAGTGGAAGGAGAGAACACTTTCATCGAAAGATGGCATGGTTGTCCTTGCATGACTGTTGTCTAGTTCATTGATCTGACTTTCTTAAGTTCAAAATTTACACATCTGAGAATCCTTTTGCACCTCACAATATAGAAACCTTCAAAGATTGAGTTGATGTTTGCTTCATGGGTTTAAACCTCTCAGCGTGAACAGCATTTCATGGGAGTGTGGAGGAGGAGAACAGAAGCTGATTCTTTCTAGCAACGATAAGCCTGCCTCCATGGTTCGGCTTCAAAACCTCTGGACTTTTGGGAAGTTCGGAACCAAACCTGCCGGCACAGGTTCTTCTGCCAAATAAAAATTAGTCTTAGGGTTATGTTTCATAACAGTGCTGGAAGCTGATACGAGAAGAGCTTGCTCTGTTAATGGTCGTTATTTGGTTCCTCCTGACTCTGCTCATTTATTAAAGGAGTTGGAATTTAATTAAGATTTAGTCTCAACCTATCCGTAATTTACACAGAGGTTCTAGCAAACTTTGCTAATATGCAGAGTATATTAGTAAATTACTAATTGCAGTAATGGTCCGGTTTTTCCTGTAGGTTTCTCTGCTTGGCTTTCATCCCGGATGTTAGGTAGAATTAAGGCCCAGAAAATCGGATTATTACATCCCAAGGGGCAGGGCTGATAAGCAGCACATGATCGTTGATCTGCTTGCTACCCGGTGTTGGTGGTGTTCGAGGTGCTGCTAGATGCAAAGCCAATTTGTTAACAATTAGTGCTCATTAGAATCATTTCCTGTTATCGATTTTAAATGTTTGACAAAGCACTTTTAGGAAGCTGCACCCAAAAAAAAATAATAGTAGCCGTACATCAGTGCTTGGTAATTACAACTCTTTAGGTCCCAGTGTCAATCTTAACTAACTGGTTTCATTGGTTTCCAAGTAATTATTTCTGCTTTGGATCCCACCTGCTATCCTCTTCAGATTAAAGATGCTTTGAAACAAGGACATAGTTCCTGAGTTGCAGAGAAAGGAGTGCTAAAATTAATGCAACTTTTTTATTTTCTGTCTTGGTTTGTCATGGCTTGGGTGTTTTGTCTTGCATAACTACCGATGGATTGCAGGATATGCAATATAGGAATTAGTGTCAGCCTGGAATTAAGTGTGATTTCCATTGGCCTTAACATTTAACATGAGCGTTTAATTTTAAATGCATCCTTGCCTTATACACACATTGAGAACTGTGGGGCCATTAAAATCTAATTTACAAATGGTAAAATTAGCTATAATGCCACGTTATAATAAAAGCTTTGATCTAAGAGTCCAAGAGTGTGTATCTGTTGAGTTTCGTAGAAATCGGGGCTATAATTACTATTAATCTCTTTGACATGCCAGAAGATGCTGAATGCGAGGTTATTTAATAAACAGTACAATCTGTGTATATGTGTAAAAAGCACAAGATCAGGCACACCTGCATTGCCACATATACTGGATATGTATTACAAGTTGTTACAGACTCATGCCTTTTATGAGTACACTGGAATTTTGGCTAAATTTAGCAATGTCAAAGGTGAAGCCAACAGTATAGCCATCTGGGTTAATTTTCTCTCCTTCCTTCTTTGCTTTAAATTTTTAGCAGCATCAGCTCAGGTTTCACAAGCACTCTCCTAAAATGCTTGCAAATATTTTAAATGTATTCCATGATCCCTGTTGCACAAGGTGGAGACCTAACATAAGACTTGGCTTTCCCACCCCCATTCATGAATTAGTCTCACAATTACTGTAAAAATTAGGGCGAGTGTGGGTGAAATACATGAGGCTTAGTCCCTCTAACCTTAGTAAACAGAGATGGTATTGACACAAGTGAATTTTGTTTAACCACAGTACATTTGCTTCTTAATTAGTGAATATTCATCTGTCATCAGCAGCAGCTATGACACCCCTCCCCGCTAACACTTTCTGTCATAAATAATCAATGAGAGGCTATTAATATTCATGAGTGAGAATCTGTGTAGTCATGTGCACTGATGCGGAGACAGGGGGAGTGTTGCCATGAACTGAGTCGAAACTCTGTGTGTGTGTATACGTGAGTGTAAGATAGTTAGGGAAAGGGAAGAAGAGCATGCTGCTACACACTGCCCTGCCTTGTGCTTCCAGCTAACAGTGGTGTGCCTGTGTTTCGGGGCTGGAGTGACTGATGAAAAACAGTAGTCAAGTCTGGAGGGTGATTCCCTGTCAGTGCATTTGCCTTTCAGTGCTGGGGAAATTAGAGGCTTTGCTCTTGTGTTGCTTATTAGGATGGGCTGCAATCTGTGCACTTTTCAGAAGAGAGAGGAGCACTACAAACTGCTCTATGAAGTTTCACAGGTGAGTGCAGAGGATATTACCAGCATCTCCAGAGTAAAAATGTGTGTTCTTTACAGAGAGTAAATAGAGATGCTTTTGTTTTGCTTTGCCTTTTTTTTTCTTTGCAAAATTGCTAGCTAAGTTGTTTGGGGGGGAGTGGGGAGGGTGGTAATTATTAGTATTTTGGGTGCCTGTTGTTTTCTGCACGTTTGCCACTCCCCCTTCAGATGACTTCCTGTGGGATTCTTTTAACATTTTTGTGCATCTTCTGCCAAGATGTCAGTCATATAGCAGCAGTCTCACTGAACCGTATCGGTGATGTTTTAAGGGAGCCCTTGGCTTTGGTAATAAGACTGATTTCAGATAAGTTGCACTGCTGCCTCTGAAAGCATTAGGTCTGTGATCTCAGGTATTTCTAAGTTAAGGAGCAAAGTTTTTATGGTATGTCTGTGCTGGCCAAGAATGTTAAATTTTCAGATTAATTGATTAAAATTGAAATGATTCTGAAATGTGCTTGTCACCTTTAAACAGGTACTGAGTACAACAGGGTTTCCACGGGTGAGGTGTGCTGCTTGTTCATTCATTGTGTGTGTGTTATTTCTGTTTAATACTAGACAAAGATCTTAATCCCATCTAGATATTTTGGTGTCTCTTTCAGCACCATAGCAGTGTGAGTAACAGCGTAGCAGCATGCTGCTAACATGTTCCCAGCTCCTTCAGAGTAAGATGAGAAAAGATGAAACAAGCACTTACCATAATAGCCCATAATTTTTGCTCAGATCCTATTGAATCAGTACTTGATTTGCAGCTTCTTATTTGTTTTTTCCTCTTGGCACAGCAGACCCTCGCATACTAAAGTTTAGTGCCTTTCAGCATCTGTTCTCTCCGTCTCTATAATTTGTCCTGGCTTTGACACATTGCCGTTGACGGAGGCTGAACGCTTGCAGTTTTGGACTGCGTTGCTGCTGACAGGCAGTGCGGAGGAGAAAAAACAGCTTACGGTGTTGGTGGTCTGTTGGCACAGCAGCAGCTAAGTGTCCATTGCCGACTGGTTCCCTCCGAGTTCCTCCTGACGTGATTCATTTCACAGTGGGCTAATTACAAAGTGGATTCTCTACACATGAAGCAGCCTCCTCAGTTGCGGTGTTAATGCACATTTTCATGGTAATGTGATCAGAGCCTCATTAGCCAGTTTCCAAAATGATCCTCTGCATTAATTAATTAAATATAAAAATGACTCTTTTTATCACCATAGAGAGGAAGAAGAAGATTAACATTGTTAATTACTACTGGGGGCAATACCTCTGCATCATTTTTTACCACAG